CATCTCTACATTTCACATTTGACTGTATAACCCATCCATATCCTAACAGATGTCCCATCTACTACATGTGATTTCCAGTACAAGAGGGATTTATGATGGTTTTTTTCCCTGCCTTCAAAGATCACTCATGGGGGAGGGGATGACCAACAGGAGAATAGACCCATGTCAAATACAGCTTACTGATAGGTGGGGTTTGGGAGATCATGCTGGAATTTACTATGTAGCAAGGTTGTTATGGTGCTACGTAATATGCAATGGTCCTATAGGATTCTGGCAACCATTTTTGCAATAAGATTCTTCAAAGCTGAATTACACCACAACTACATAAATCTAATCAAACTAATTATGTAGGGCAGGGGTTGGCATACCTTTTGGGGGTGGGGCTGGTTCCTCTGTCCCCTGATCGTCGGCGGGCTGAAGGGGGGAAAAATGGCACCAGAGGTGTGTGTGTGTGTGCGCGTGCATGCATGCGCACTACTCTTGCCATCGTGCACATGCGTGCACGAAGGCGCCATTTTGCAAAATGGCACCTTGCGTCGTGCGCACAGCAGCAACACCAGCCCTAGGCCGGTTACAAGACCTCGACAGGCCGGGTTCAGCCCACGGGCTGTAGTTTGCCAACTACTGGCCTAAAACATACAGCCCAAAAGGGTTGCGATTAGGCTACGTTGGGGTTGTGGCGTTCAGATAACACATGCCCTGAACACAGCCAGAAGCTGCCCCAGGCACATCTCATCCTGGAACAACTGGCTCAAAAAGGAGAAGTAAATACAGCTTTTTTTGGGGGGGGGGTGCCTGGTTCAGGACTATGGTGGTGGCCAGGATCAAGGTTGGGTATCTGCGGCTGCCATAGTCCTGGGATGAATGGTGGCAGCCTGGTCCCAGCACAGACCTTTAGCACCATCTGCTTCATCCCTAGGTCTCAGCTAAGCTAGAAATGGGTCTTCATTTAGGTAACCCCATCTTCATACATAGATTAATGGGAGGGGTCATTTTGGTAATGGCTTAAAAAGTTTCTGGCATTGGGGTTTACTTACAAAAGTAATGGCAGCAACCTCACCTTTAAAATACCATCCTATTTAATTTACAGTAACAGTGATTATAAAGTTGGTGGGTACTGGGTCTCACTTTCCTTCCATATCTTTTGTGGAATACTGCTACATCATGATGTAATTCCAGATGCGTAATGGGAGGAGGAAATGGTACTCCCAATTGTTTTTTCCCCATAGCATAGCTCTGGAACATACGATCTATTATGGCATGCCCTCCAATGTTTCATAGATATAAATTGGGATATGTATCAGAATATGGTCAAGATGGAACACTGAGGAAGGCAAGATTCTGTCTCCTCATTTCCTGTCTCCACTGGTGAGTTACACTAATTTTCACTGTGAATTCGTAGAATAGAATCAAAGAGTCTTAAGGTGCATGCAATTGGATATCACTTTACGTGCTGTAGCTCCATCCTATGGCAATCTTGGATTTATAGTTTTACAAAGTCTTTAGCCTTTTCTACCAAAGAATGCTGGTGCCTTACAAAACTACAAACCCCAGAATTTTGTAGGATGCAGCTATGGCAGTTAAACTTGTGTCAAACAGCATTCTTTAAACAATTTAGATACGCTCTTACAGTTGGAAGGGACTGCAATGGGCCCTCCTATGCAGGAATATACAACTAAAGCATTCCTGAAAGATCTTCAGCCAACCTCTATTTAAAGGCCTCCAACGAAAGGGAGTGCACTGCTGTCCAAGGCAGCCTATTCCACTGTCAAACTCTGATTGCAGAAGAGGAGAAAGCAGAGGACAAAGGCGAGGGAAGTACCGGTAAGTGGGATGAGAGACTGGGACATTTTAAAAACAGCTGGAAACTTGCGGTGACAGATTCATCAAGATGGTCCCTGCCAAACCAGGACAGCTGGGGGGGGGGTATGCATGATTCCAAGTAAAGTATTATGTGAAAAAAGCAGGGCCCATTTTGCTGCAGGTACAACACCATTTGTGATAGTGGACAAACTGAATGAGAAAAAGGAAGAAGCATTCTTTTAAAAGATAGTTTTTTCATCACTTTCTTGGTAAGCATTCAGCATCTGGTTTGGGAGGGGACACATAGGCACTCGAAGCTGCCATAAATAAGTTTATAGCACAGCACTTACAGGAATGGGAATGGAACGGAACGGAACAGGTTGAGAACTCACGTTACTGCACAGGAGAACGCCACTGATGTCGCTCGGAGTCCCCAAGCTGTTCCCCAGCTGTTCCCGGCAGCCAATTTTGAAGAACGGTTCAAAATTGTTCTTCAAAATCGGCTTCCAGGAATGGCTGGGGAATGGCTTGGGGACTCCCGGTGGCATCAGTGGCATTCTCCTGTGCAGTAATGTCTGTTTTCCCATTCCTGTAAGTATCGTGTGATAAGCTTATAAGTGTCCACCTTTGAAATGACCATTGACATTTCCCCCTTGGAATAAAGCCTCTGAAAATAATTAATATTAAAGCTTTGTCTTGGCAAGTGCTGTTCATTTTATTGACCTGACATATGTATCCAATACAGCTTGTGATCTTGTTGCCCCATCACAGTAGAGTTGTGCTTTGGATGTGCCAGACTGAAGTTTCAAAAACATGTATCACTGGGGATTACAGGGCACTTACAGAACTCATAGTTTCTGAAATAAAAGAGTTGCAGAACTGTATCATTCTCTGAGCACTATCTAATACAAGGAAGAAATTGAATGACCCTAGTCTCCATGTGATTATATGTAATCCAAAGTTTGTGTTGTGAAGGACAAGAAGCATCAAAATGTTCAAAATATACATATTGGCCAGTCATAAATTATGCAATGTGCACAATTCTGTCTTTATGAAGGCCCACACCCCAAAATACATGGTTTGGGGCATTTTGTTAAGTCTATATTGAAGGAAAAGATTCCCAACCC